AAATTAGGGGATAAAAGTGCCAAGGACAGAATCTGTAGTCAGACGAAGCATCATAGAATCAAAGCACCCCCGACAGGCTGTGAGAGAGAGATTGATAACAGAGTCAAGGCTGAAACGAAATCTGTTTCTGGCCACTTGGGACATAGAGTAAATTAGGAGATAAAAGTGCCAAGTACAGAATCTGTAGTCGGACGAAGCATCATAGAATCATAGAATCAAAGCACCCCCGACAGGCTGTGAGAGAGAGATTGATAACAGAGTCAAGGCTGAAACGAAATCCGTTTCTGGCCGCTTGGGACATAGAGTAAATTAGGAGATAAAAGTGCCAAGTACAGAATCTGTATTCGGACGAAGCATCATAGAATCGTAGAGTTGGAAGACCGTCCAACCTCATTCTGCCAAGAAGCAGGAAAATTGCATTCAAAGCACCCCTGACAGATGGCCATCCAGCCTCTGCTTAAAAGTCTCCAAAGAGGGAGCCTCCGCCACACTTGTTGTTATTTCTGCAAACAATCCCAGGGAATTCGGAAGATTGTAGGAAAGCTAAGGGACCAGGAGTCTGTTTGTGCCACAGCGTCCTACCTCACGACAGCAAAGTGTGTACCCTTGGTGTACATGTCGGAAACTGCAAATAATACACAGGGAGTCGGTATCAATTATTGATTGTCATCGTGAGCGAGAGAGAAAGAGAGAGAAGGAACATGCTGGGGATGGAAGGTTAGTGCAGGGTCTCCTGCCACAACTCCTGCAGATCATCTGCCAGTGAACCGTCCCCTCTGCGTCATGTTAATCTGGACATGGGGTGGCATTGATATCTCAGTGGAAAAAAGCTCTCGTTCCCTCGCATTTCATTAATAGCCTAGCGAGGGAGTGCAATGTGGGCCTTTAGCTACGGGGATTGTTGCTTTTTCCCCATGAACTGGGAAAAAAAAACCCCAAGCATTGCATTTATCTACCTATTTATTTATTTACGGTATTTATATGCACGTAATATCTAAATACAGTGATCACCATAGCACAATATTAGTATTATATATTGCTATATTGTACTATACCATTATACTGTGATATTATTATTAATATTACATGTAATATAAAATATATAATTATTATTTTGTATTGTTATTAGTATTGTATTGTAATATTATGATCAATATTATATGTGCATACAATTTATTTATTTATTTACGACATGTAATATTGATAATATTATAATGTAATACAATATACAAGTTCGTTTGGCCCACGGGCCAATGGCAGCGAATGGGAGAGTGAAATTATATATACACACATACCTAGGCTATTAGAGATATTATTATTATTATTACTAATACTACTACCACTACCACATATGACTGACTGTATACACTCGAGTATGTGGAGTTTTTCAGCCTTTATTTAAGAGAGTTGGTCGTCCAGTGTGGATGGAGTTGGTTGCACAGAGCCAATGGCAGCGAATGGGAGAGTGAAATTATATATACACACATACCTAGGCTATTAGAGATATTATTATTATTATTATTACTAATACTACTACCACTACCACATATGACTGACTGTATACACTCGAGTATGTTGAGTTTTTCAGCCTTTATTTAAGGCTGAAAAAGCCCCCCTCGGCTTATATTCAAGTCAAGATCATTTATTATTTTACACTGTTGTTGTTGTTAGTATTATTATTATATTTGTTATTTTTTCTATTAATTATTATTATTACATGCATTATTTTACTCTATTATTATTCCATTTATTATTTTTCTATTAATTATTATTATTACAAGTATTTTACTCTATTATTATTATTACATTTATTATTTTACTTTATTATTATTACATGTATTTTTACTCTATTATTATTACATTTATTATTTTACTTTATTATTATTGTTATTATTACATTTATTATTTTACTCTATTTATTATTATTACATTTATTATTTTTCTATTAATTATTATTATTACAAGTATTTTTACTCTATTATTATTATTACATTTATTATTTTACTTTATTATTATTACATGTATTTTTATTCTATTTATTATTATTACATTTATTATTTTTCTATTAATTATTATTATTACATGTATTTTTACTCTATTATTATTACATTTATTATTTTACTTTATTATTATTGTTATTATTACATTTATTATTTTGCTCTACTTATTATAATTACATTTATAATCTTTCTATTAATTATTATTATTACATGCATTATTTTATTCTATTTATTATTATTACATTTATTATTTTTCTATTAATTATTATTATTACATGTATTTTTACTCTGTTATTATTACATTTATTATTTTACTTTATTATTATTGTTATTATTACATTTATTATTTTACTTTATTATTATTGTTATCATTACATTTATTATTTTACTCTATAATTATTGTTATTATTACATTTATTATTTTACTCTATAATTATTGTTATTATTTTTTGCTGCATTGTATTGAAGCCCCTCCAGATTTGTGGGAGCGAGGGGTGCCGATGTGGAAGATTGACAAATTTAAATTTAAAAAATCACTTTTTGAGGAATTTGTAAGTCCTCCAGCTCAGTTCTATGATCAGATGTCTGGGGGTTATCATTTCAGTTTGAAATGTTTTTGGCTGATTCCGTTTCCAAGCTGACCTTGGAAAGAAAGTCAGCAAATAATAATAATTTTTGTGTCATAATAATAATAATAATAATAATAATAATAATAATAATAATGTTTACCAGCTGTCCCTGGTCACGCTTTGTTGTGGACTCAGTCTGATTCCTTCCTTCTCTACCTCTTCCTTTCCTTCCTTTCTTCCATCCTTCCTTCCCTCCCTCCCTCCCTCCATCCTTCCCTATGTCTTTCTTTCCATCCTTCAGTCTTTCCTTCTTTCCTTCCTTCTCTCCTTCCTTCCCTCCCACTTAATAATAATAATAATCATAATCATAATATAATAATAATGTTTACTAGCTGTCCCCAGCCACGCTTTGCTGTGGACTCAGTCTGATTCCTTCCTTCTCTACTTCTTCCCTTCCTTCCTTCCTTCCTTCCTTCCTTCCTTCCTTCCTTCCATCCTTCTTCCTTTATCCTTCCTCCTTCTTTCCATCCTTCAGTCTTTCCTTCTTTCCTTCCTTCTCTCCTTCCTTCCCTCCCACTTAATAATAATAATAATCATAATCATAATCATAATAATAATGTTTACTAGCTGTCCCCAGCCACGCTTTGCTGTGGACTCAGTCTGATTCCTTCCTTCTCTACTTCTTCCCTTCCTTCCTTCCTTCCTTCCTTCCTTCCTTCCTTCCTTGTCTTCCTTTCCATCCTTCAGTCTTTCCTTCTGTCCTTTTCTCCTTCCTTCCCTCCCACATAATAATAATAATAATAATAATGTTTACTAGCTGTCCCCTGCTATGCTTTGCACTTAATAATAATAATAATAATAATAATAATAATAATAATAATAATATTTACTGTCGCCAGCCACGCTTTGCTGTGGCCTCAGTCTGATTCTTTCCTTCTCTACTTCCATCCTGCCTTCCCTCCTCCTCTCCTTCTCTCCATCCTTCCCTACGTCTTTCTTTCCATCCTTCAGTCTTTCCTTCCTTTTCTCCTTCTTTCCCTCCTACATAATAATAATAATAATAATAATAATAATAATAATAATAATAATAATAATAATAATGTTTACTAGCTGTCCCCGGCCACGCTTTGCTGTGGACTCAGTCTGAATCCTTCCTTTATCCCTTCCTTCCTTTCTTCCATCCTTCCTTCCTCCTCTCCATCCTTCCCTATGTCTTTCTTTCCTTCCTTCTCTCCTTCCTTCCTTCCTTCCTTCCTTCCTTCCTTCCTTCCTTCCCACTTCCATTCCTTCCCTCTTTTTCCTTCTCTCCTGCTTTCCTTCCCTCCCTCTTTCGTTCTTTCCCCTCTTTTTCTTTCCCTTTCTCTCCTTTCTTACTTCTCTACCTCTTTCCTTCCTTCCTTCCTTTGCTCTGTCTGAATCATTGTCTATATCTATGGCTGGATGGTCCTCTGGCAGGAGGGCTTTGATTGTGTAGACGAATGAATCTTTCTGAAGCTTTGCAGGATTAATTCTCTGCTTATGTTGACTCGACATCCAATGGGATACCTCTGGTAGTTTTGTAAAAACTTTTAAATGTTTCTAAAAATCAGCGGATGATCGAAACTTTCTGAAACTCCGCAGGCTCAAAGTCGTAAATGTTGCCTACAAGGGTGCCAAGTGTCATCCTCATTGCTCTGAAACTATGCAGGATTACTAGGTTCTTGTGAGTTTTTTCGGGCTATAGGGCCATGTTCTAGAGGCATTTCTCCTGACGTTTCGCCTGCATCTATGGCAAGCATCCTCAGAGGTAGTGAGGTCTGTTGGAATTAGGACAATGGGTTTATATATCTGTGGAATGGCTGGGGTGGGGCAAGGAGCTCTTCCTTGCTGGAGCTAGGTGTGAATGTTTCAACTGATCACCTTCATTAGCATTTGAAGGCTTGGCTGAGCCTGGGAAAATACCCTGTTGAGAGGTGTTAAGATGTGCCTGGTTGTTTCCTCTCTGCTGTTTTGCTGTTATAATTTTAGAGTTTTTTAATACTGGTAGCCAGATTTTGTTCATTTTCATGGTCTCTTCCTTCCTTTCCTAAAAATCAGCGGATGATCGAAACTTTCTGAAACTTGGCAGGCTCAAAGTCGTAAATGTTGCCTGCGAGGGTGCCAAGTGTCATCCTCATCGCTCTGAAACTATGCAGGATTAATTCTCTGCTTATGTTGACTCGACATCCAATGGGATACCTCTGGTAGTTTTATAAAAACGTTTAAATTTTTCTAAAAATCAGCGGATGATCAAAACTTTCTGAAACTTGGCAGGCTCAAAGTCGTAAATGTTGCCTACGAGGGTGCCAAGTGTCATCCTCATCACTCTGAAACTATGCAGGATTAATTCTCTGCTTATGTTGACTCGACATCCAATGGGATACCTCAACTTTTAAATTTTTCTAAAAATCAGCGGATGATCGAAACTTTCTGAAACTCGGCAGGCTCAAAGTCGTAAATGTTGCCTGCGAGGGTGCCAAGTTTCATCCTGATCGCTCTAAAAATAATGGTTGAACAAGCCTCAAAAATGGAACAAATCTTAGTGAAACAATTGCGAAACTTCAGCAGTTCGGATTAATGGAACGGGGCCCCTCCGAATTTTTACAAAACGAACCTCGGAAACGAATTACTGATTTGATTTCAGCCACTTTGCACACCTCTAATGAATGGATGGGTGTCTTCATTTGTCATGAATTGCCATGTTGGCAGTGAGTCAGGAGAGGGTGCTGTTGGGCAAGGAATGAATACGACACGGCTTACATATCAAGTTTATTGTTATTATATGGTTGCAGAAGACTTGTAGACAACTCTTGGACCTTCCACAGATATATAAACCCAATTTTCCAAATTTTCCAACGAACCTCACAACCTCTGATGATGCCTGCCATAGATGCAGGCGAAACGTCAGGAGAGAATGCTTCTGGAACATGGCCAGTCATCCCGGAAAACTCACAGCAACCCAGAGGGGGACAGCGTTAGGCGATCTCTTGGTCTCTCTTCCAAGTGAGATTTTCACCTGCCGTCATCGTCCCTCTCCTGGCGCTTTGCCCGGGAACCAGTTCCGATTTCAGGATCCGCTTCCGGCGGCGGACCTTTGAGGCCCTGATATGTATCTGTGCAGGGAGATCACCCAGAGGTTAATTGGGTAAAGGATACCCTGTTGAGCGATGGCATCGAAAACAAGACACCAGCGCATGCTGCCCTCGGGTCAAGCGATGGGAGGAGCGCGTGCTTCCATGGGAGGAAATTACAGTCGAGCCTGCGGTCAATTCTGGCCCCTCATATGTGTGAGAGAGAGTTGGTCGTCCAGTGTGGATGGAGTTGGCTGCACAGAGCCAATGGCCGCGAATGGGAGAGTGAAATGGTATTATATATATATATATA